AATTTTCTTGGATTAAATTCTCTTCTTCTCTTTTTATACCATATATATTGCAGCCTAGATAGGTACAACGAGCCGCCAGTCGCGGATTATGTGGCCATTCATTAGCGACGAGCAATAAAAACGAGAATTTTCGGTATATACCTCGGGACTATGCCATTGGACGCAAATGGCGACTCGTAAAAAGAAATCTAATCTTTCCCGACGAGTACTGCGGGAGAGTAAATCGCGTCTCGCCTGCGATATAGTACAATATGATTACAGCGAGGGTCCAGGAGCCTTAATTTAAATACAATCGAGTCTCAATGTTATCGGCTATTGGATCGCGCTGCAAAGTATCGTGTATCTCGAGAGAAAGAAATACACTTACGTATATATTAAATCTCTCTTACATAAACCTTTATATAATATACTTATGTAAAAGAGAGTAAAGACTATTTTACACAGACTGGACGTAGGCGCGACGAGGCGCGCCTCACAGTTTATTGTTTCTACATGCTGCGTTACGGCGCACCGATTCTCCATAAATGGTGCGAAAGTTCTCATCGGGATATATGTAGCAAAAAAAAAAAAATAAATGCGTTGCACGACGAGATATAATCTAAATGGATTTACGAATATTAACGCGTTTACGTGTTTTTGATGTCCGATAGAAATATTATCAGGTATCGTTACATAGATTTTACCGGGCTTCAACCAAACAATTGATTCTATATCACACTTTTACATCTATTTAGGCATTTCCGGAATCGACATGGTAAATAATGAGCCGTGGATTGCGTGTACAATCTCCCATCGAACGATACTATCTTATCAACTCTTATCAATTATTTCTTGGCGTGAGGCCGCTATTGCGTTTCTCCGTAGATTACCGTCGTAAGAAAAAATGTCTTACGCAATCTTTCCACCGCGGTTTAATTGTTATGTCCGTGGGGTCGATAGAAATGTCGATACCGTCGACGGTAATGTACGGCATCGGTATCGATTTGAGATGGAAAACGGCTTTTACGTTTTCGTGCCCGACTGCTCCTCTTATAACTCCTCCGGCCCGGAGTAATTACGACTTGAGGAAAGCATTCTTTTAGCTCGCGATAGGTTAAACCGATCCGCATGAAATTGCCGAGCGACGGGAACGATTGAGGTGTATAAATCTGATGCTAGACTTGATTCTTTGAACGAGGAGGTTGTTGAGGTTGTGTTTTCGACGGGAGAATTTTATCCGAGAATCAGCTGGCACGCGTTACTTTCTCATTTGAAATAGTTGATAGGTGAAACCAATAACAAGATAACGATTCCAGCTTCAATCCTGTAGTTGAACCTCGTTTATCGAGGAGAGATCGAATGCAGGCGTTGATTGAAGGGATAACAATTAAAAATATTACCCGTCGGATTGTGAGTCACCAGAATGTCAGTAACCCTCTTCGTCGGGAGTAGAATTAGTTTCGACATTTCGACTGTTACTTTCTGCGGGTGGTCGGGTTAAAACACGAGTTCTCTATAGAATTCCATTGTTCGAGCTCTGATTTCCGATCTCCGTGACAAACACAGGCGTCGGTTTCGTCTTCATTGACGACTCGATTCACAACAGGCTTGGCGGATTGGCCGACGAAGTCGACACGCCTTCGACATTACGACATCCATCTAAGTTATCGTTGTGAAACGTGGCGGTTATCGTTTTAACGTGATTTGTTGGTTTAGCCGGTTGGCTTGTACGGTTTATCGCAGCGTCAGAAACTACGGACGTCGGTCATTAGTTTTTCAAAATAAGCGCGAATGTCGGATAAGGACAGATTTATACAATCCGTGATAAATTCTCCGGCACCGTTTCAAGCAGATTAAATTAGTATTCTCCGATATTCGTTTTGCATTATTCCACGCTACTTTCCTTCTTTTTTTTCCAGAAGAATGTCAGTCCGATATGCTTCTCCGTATTTCTCGTACGTCTCCTCATATTGGCATGACCATTAGTCGTTGCAGACATATTAATTTGCAAGAGAGGAATCGCATTTCAGCGTTTCACAGTGTTTCTCTTTTATGGTAGATAAGAGCACAAATCGATTGGATCGAGAGACGTCTCGAAGGAAAATTTTCCGAAGATGTACTCACAGTGCTATCGGTGCATGCAGTTGGCTCGGATCTGGACGTAAATTCACTTTTAGGAATCGCGACGCTGAAAGTTGAAACAGTTTTGCTCGATGTGGTACATATATGTGTCGGGGCTGGCTTTTTAGCTGTTGCTTGTCAAATAATTTTGTCGTATAAGCACACTTAATAGTTCAATATGATCGATATATCTTTCGTAACTCGCTGGTATCTCCTTATGAGACCCACATTTCAAGGAATTCCAGAACGTCGTCTCCACCGCGGCGTGGATACCTCCCGTCGAATAGTTTCCCAAGTTCACAAATCATCAAGTTGGCTCGCGGTGGGAAATTTGTTGCCGTATCAGGCGCCCGCGGTTACAGTCGTGGGACTATGCAGGGGAGAAGACTGGTCGTTGATCAGTGGCGGATTTAGTAAATGCGGCGCCCCAGTAGTAGAAAATCAATAGTCAGATAGAAAGGAAAGTATTTTAAATCTGGATTATGCGATATGATATATAATTCGGTCTCACCTCGTGGCTATTATCGTTATCACGCGCGAATGCTGGATATAAAATACAATCGTGTGAAATTCAAATTAATCTCGTTGAAACGCAGAAACCATAATATAATAAACAATTGAAATATTTCTATATATGGGAGTTTCATGAAAACAATATCTCTTCCCACGTGAATATATTTGTGTCTAACAGTTCTTTTCTTTCATTTTTTCTATATCAAGTGCCGAGCTTAAAGCGCGCGTTTCGTGCCTCATTAGGAAATCCGCCACTGTCGCTGGTACACATTAAAGTACATCAGCGAGCGAGTGCTTCTCTCTCCGTCTCTCTCTTTCTCCCTCTCTCTCCCTCTCTTGTACATCGTTACAGCAGTAAAGTGACCTTATCTTTAACGTAAGTTAACAAAGAACGGGAGAACAAAGAGAAGGGCGGGATAAACGATAAGACTGTAACGCAAATAACGGAAAGAAAATCCGTATCGTCGCACGAACGACACGTTACCGCAAAAATTGCCGTCGTTATACAATTCCTGGACGAAATCGAGCACAAAGCGAGTGCCTCTTTAAAACGAGCCGCGGATATTGCTTCTATCCGGTATACGTCGTTCTCTTTCTCTTTCCTCTTCCATCCTCTTTCAATCTCTCTCCCCACTTTTCTTCTCTTTTTTCTGTCTCATAATGATTGATTTCTCTCGTTCAATTAAACGCAGCGTTTATCGTTCGGGACGTTTGTGAAAATAGCTTCTTATCGTTGATCAGGCTAGATCAATATTGTATGTTTATGTAACGATATGACGCAAATTGCATTCGCAAAAAGACATAAAAAATAACATTACGTCGCATGCCGACACCAGGCACAGAGTTGTTGTTATGATTTCCGGCAAATTGAATGTAAGCTTTTATGCACACGCGTATCATATTATTTTCTTGAATAATATTATCTTAATTCGTTTTTTATGTATAGTCTGAGATATTACGTTTGAAAATCTTATTTCAAGGTATAAAAAGTGTACGCGCGCGCGCGCGCGCGCGTTCGAGAATATATAATTTTTAATTCAGAGTCTTTAATTTAAAGTATAACTAACGTAATGAAGATTGAAGTAGCTTAGTAATGATAAAGTTTTCTTTATCCTTTTAAATTTTTATTTCGGATGTATTTAATATTTTAATTATACTATATTTTGTTCTCTTTCCATACATGTGTAGTAATACATTGTTATATTATATTAATATGTCCGAGTTTTACTATCCGTTTTATATCTGTACTATACATACAGCGTGAAAATTAAGGAAGCGGAATGATGAAGGTAATAATGTTCTCCGGTTTTTATTTTCATGAAGTAAATATTGTTCTCACGTATTATTTCAGGTTACCATATTTATATGAAATTAAAATGGAAACGTATAACGATGAGTGCACGAATAAGCTACAACTGGAGAATTTATATCTTGAAATACAAATTTGTTTTATGAAACATAGCGTTCTCTATATTTGGAGAATCTTATCGTTATATAAACTGTTGTTGAGGGAATAAAGACTAGGAGCTCGACAAGACAACGGAACCTATTTAAAGATAGTAATCTAGGAAGGTAAACACGTAGAAGCATGATACATATAACGCAAATATCGTTTGTCAAATAATATATTGTATTCCAATAATTTGGGGTAAAAATCATGAATTAAATCATGACTTCTGTCTGTAACCGTGAAAATATGGAGATTATTTAAAATCTTGAGAACATTTTCGTAATCTTCCAAAGAAAGAAAAAGCATTAATAATATATTTTTATCGTGGCTTTGTACGTTGCGATTTTCCTCGAAATGATATCTGCTTTAAATGCATCTATATTAATGGATACTTTTCTTGTTCTATATTAATTCGACAGACTACAAAACGTTTAAACATGCGAAATTCGGATTTCTGCATGCCACGCATTTCCGGAGAAATTAGACAGTTGGTAGGAAATATGTACAGACGACACGCGATGAAGTGAAAGCGATAAATTTCAAAGGAACATCGTGTTCAACGTAACGCCCATCGACTGATCGATCATGTGTTTCCGGACATTCTTGGACATCTTTGCTATAGGAGTATGTCTCGGTAACTAACCGAGTTGATAGTCGCGACAAGACACTTCCTTCAAATTGAATAACGTCACATTACGTGTACGCAATTGTCAGCTGATCGGTAACGGCAAATATTACATCATTGTGTCTGAGAATAGATATGCGCTTAGAGAAGCGCTCATAAGAGTACAAGGGTTTTTTTTTCGTCAGAAAAAGCTGGACTATGAAATCCTGTCGTGTTCGCGGCGACGTCATAGACACTAGTGCACCTCGGTGCACGACGACGCGTGCGAGACGCGCCGTCGACTCGTGGTTCAACCAACGCGCGCGGTGCCATCGGCAAGCGCCAATCGGCGAACGCGGCCGCGCCGGCTGTAGTAGCGCCGCGTCGCCGTACGCCGACCCTTCATTCGCACATCGCACGCCGTTGGGATAGGACGTGTGTCGCGGCCTCGGTATTTAAACGATTACACTCGCGAGGACCTAATACGAAGCTTCCACACGTGTACGAGTGATATACACGTCGACCGTCCGCATTACACCGCGCCCGTGTTGGCTTCATTCGCAAGCGATTTCCGCATTAGGAGAGTCTCACGTGCCGAGCTCGCGTGCCTCGCCGGGATACCTTGCTTATATCCTCAGGTATGTATAGTAAAGAGAGAGTGAGAAGGAGACAAATGGGGACATGTACACGTGTTATTCCTCGTTGCGTTATTCGCCAGAATCGGCAAGGCCGCGCACGAATTACAAAACTGTCGCGAGCATGGCGCTTACATCACTACGTTGTTATCCGATTTCTATCGCGAATAAATCACATACAAGTTCATTTCAAGTTTGGTATTTTAGACTTTCGCGGTGTTCTCCAATACTTTCCTTGTTTTCCGGATTTGGACCGTGTCTTCTTTCTATTTGATTCCGATATCTCGTGAACATTTTAAGTTGTTTTTCTTTCATTTTTTTAATGTTAATCCACAGGAAACCAGAAACCCTTTTCGCGAGTCGTGTCTTTTCTATTATTCCTTGCTCCGCAGTCGTGCGTAATGAATCGCGCGGCTAATGTCTCGCTTGTCATGTGAGGATTTTGTCGGACGTGCCGTGACCGTGTCGAGCTCGCGTACAAATTCCCAAGAGTTTCGATAAAAGATACTCAGAGTTCTCTTTATTCGCGAATTGGCACATACGCCAAAAACATCGTGTGACACATGAAATATCTGTCTCGAATTACATAGTCGAATATTTCGTTGCTATTCGCGACGAATGTATAACAAAGGCATGGACTACATATAGTACCGTCGCAAAAAAGGACACAACATTGTGATAAAAAAAGAACCAAAACGATTTTTTTTAAGTAAATTCGTATATACACTCGGCAATTTTGTCCAAGTAGTGACTTTTAACATCGGGCATATCATCCACTGACATGTTTCAGCGTCTCGGGATGGAGAACTTTTTTATTGTATGTTCGGTAGGGTGCTTGAACGACGTGTTCGTCCGAATAGCTAAGAAACAGCTAGACATCATTGTTTATACATTTTCGTTTCATTATGCGCGTGAGCTGTCCACTAATAAATACTTATTACCATAATAAACTGCCGCGATTGTCGCCGTTGCGTGCAGTGTTCATTCGATTGCGGACATTATGCACATCAGTGTCATGTTTATACAGTGGCATGCTAAATAAGCCGCGCTCGGGCGCGGAATGATGTACGTGTGAATCATTACATCGAAGCTGCTGGATGATCGCCTGCATGAAATAAAAGTGCGATAGTGAAAACGCGCGCGCTTCTCAGATCGTGCGTCGCAACGTGAGATTTGTTTTTCTGGGTCAGACGAGCGAGACGAGGGACGAACTCATGCGTTTTGGTAGCGTGCACTCGAGAGAGAAAGAGGGAGAGAGAGAGAGAGGGACGAAAGTTCCGTCTTGGAGGAATTCCAAAATGCGTAATGCTGTATCGCGGTGATATCGCGACAATCGTCGTGCCGATGTCAACTGGCTGCATCGATCGCAATCGAACGACGAGCTGTTTCTCGAGAAACGCGACTGATATTCCAATTAGTAATCGACGGCAAGTAATTGCAGTGTGCAACGAGCGGCGTGGATTATTATTTCAAACGTCACAACCGCTACCGCCTATTGTTCGCGTTCGTTGAAAATTGAAACCGGCCGTGTTCTATAAAAGATGCACGAGATCGTAAAATATGAGCGGTAATATGAGAAATATCGTTGAGCGAAAATTTTATACATGGTATTGCAGTAATTTGGGAATTTCGACGTTTCAGTGATTAAATCTAAAATTAACTTTATTAATGTCCGCACGAGAGACCGAAACGAGAAAATTTTATTAACTATTCGGACATCTAATTTGTCAATCACGTAGAATGATTGATATATTTTAATTTTTGACGCTATATAAGTTACTCTGTGCAATTAGCCTGTCAATTGGATGCTTGATACGAGAAAAATTAAAATTGAATTAATTAAATCGTTCCTTCCTTTTACAATTGATTTTTGTATCATCCGCTTTTTCGCATTCAACCTTCATTAAACGAAAATTTAATTTAGTATTTTTACTGAATTATGTAATATTAATTCTCGGGAATATATCTGTGAAACGGAGTCCGATTATATTCCGAAATTGGTTTTTCGCAAAAATCGAACGCGAAACGCGTGGCGAAAATATCAGATGATGCGACGACAACAGTACGCGTTCATCAGCGCGATTAAAGATCATCATGCGCGATTTTGCTGTTTTCGGGCGCGACCGCGAGAGATTTATCCGCTCTAATGTATATACGATCTTCCAAATTTACATATCACTATTGCGTCAGAGAAGCCTCTGAATGAAACGTTTGTTACGGGGAGGATCACTTTCGACACACCCCATAGATTGTTATCCCGTATACCTAGCCGCATCTGAAATGCTAATATCGACCGTTCATCGGATCGCAGTAAGCAATGGTAAGTGACGACCTTGCCGCCTATGTAAACGCATATCCGGGCTTTGTGCCGATGCATCGCGTAAATTTGCATGGTCGTCGGCGATTAAATACGCGCAAATACGCGAGCGGTTGAATTGCGCCGGTTGAACCGTACCTGTGCGTCGCTTCGGCAAATTTCGCGACGCGTGGCACAAGGAAGAAGCGTTCTTCCTTCCACGAAGTAAGACGCGCCGGTCCGTAATAAGGAATCGACTAGCACCTGCATTCTCACGCGATCGACTCGGTGGTGCGAATCGTCTGACCGAATGGTTGTCTGGATTCTCGTGATACCTCCACAGCCGCGAGACGGTGAAAGAGATCGCGTTACTGTGTGTTATTTTGCACCGGGATAAGCACAACGGGTTTCAATTGTGACGTACACTCGGAAATTTCACACGCTTTAGGTCGAATTTTTCGACGTTTTCGTTGTATTCACGGCCGAATGATTGTCGTTTTTTCTGTGTTTTCTTATTTGAGGATTATGTAAGATCTACTGTATTAATAGTTATTTGAGAATAGTTTATTGAGACTTGCTTTAAATTTTCAGGTTTAGGTGTTCAGATTTAAATTTAGGTTATTAATGTTTTACGTACGTAAGATACTCAGATTAGTTTGAATTTTTTATTTGAATTATGTAATAAATATGACATTACATTTTTAATTTGCTCAATTTAACCAAAAATTTAACCAAAAATTCACATCTAACTCTAGATTTAAAGCTGAGTATTTAAACCTGAGGCAAGCTTTGACTATTAATATGGACCTCACGAGTTAAATGTGAGTTTTTGTCACACACACATATACACACACACACATATATATAATTCAAATAATAAACTTACATCTAACTTTAAATTCAGATCTGAATATGTCACGTAGAACAAGTTTCAAGTAAAGACTATTAATACGGATCTAAGAGAGATATTCACGAGAGACTCATCTCGTTGCGCACGTAGCGATTTCTTCAAAAGTAATTCAGCGCGAGTACCGCCATTGAAATAATAAAATGTGGAGCGGAATCTGCGTGTGGACGCAGAGAAGTTGGACGTTTTAATATAGAAAAAACTCACCGACCGACAAAACTCTACGAATTTGAGGGGACGAAAAAGCGACAACTCCACGCGGGATTCTTGTATAGTCATGCAGGCGGATGGTTTGATGCGAACATTTGTTAAAACAGCTGATGCTTAATGTGTAAATCGGGAGAGCGAACGACGCAGGTCAACGACTCCGGACTTAAAAATGACGAAAAAATGTGCAGAGTTGTACTCGCGCGCGATCTTCAATATCGGTACTCGTGATTGCTCATTATGCCAGAATAATGACGCGACCGCATTTGGTAACACGGTTATGTTCGGCGGAATACTATCTGGATTGTGCGTCGCTATCCAACAGTCGCTAATTGCTCTCGAGCACGTTCGGAATATAAACACAGTCCAATTAGGCAATTGACTTTCAAGGAGTTTATTCGTTTAATTAAAAAGCCATCCAAACGACGCTGGAAGCTGCGCGTCAGGACTCGAGAAATCGAAAAATACAATTATCCTTATGACGTAGTTTCTTCCACGACTATGTATATTTCGAAACGTAGTTTCGCTTCATTCCATTTGCCTAATGAACGTTGGAAACGACGAGTTATTTTTCAATAGTCTGCCGCTCTGAGGTTTTATGCTTTTCATAAAGGATGTTTTCATGTCCGCGCGAGTTGCTTTGTGGATCTTATTTATTTAAACAGTTTAGAGCTTTGACGTCAGAGGATCGGACGCGTTGTAACTTCCTTTAAGCCTCACTCACGGCGACTGCGCGATTTCTTGTTGCAAATAAACGTAACGAAATTGAAAAAATAATAATCAAAGATATGTTTTGTTGGTCCAGGTAGAATTCTTGGTGTCGCAGTTACAATTTATGGCTGTTTCTCGTGTTTGCTAGAAAATCGTCTAATCGTAATACGTAGAATCTACAATAGCAACGTTCTAACAATATTTGCTAGCAAATTTGAGCGTACGTAAGGATTATGCATTCGTTTGTCTCTCCTCGCTAGTCTTTTTTTACTGTTCACTACAGTCACTTTTACAAGAAGTGTGACCACAGGGAGAGAAAGAGACTTCTTTGCTAATTTTTACAAATAGTTAAGATATTTTGTCATCTATATTAATTAAATACAAAACATATACAATATTTGCTAGTCATTTACCGTCTCGGCATCTGGATAATATTAGCGCTATGATCGCAAGACCTATGACCTTTTTGGGTGAACTCGTACTTATTATACTTGTGTTTTTTTTTGGACGCGGAGAATGAAGTGTGCAAATATCACATCTGAAATTAAAATGAGCGAAGAAGAGTAATTCTTTCCCATCGTCTACAAATTGTTAGTTGCAAATTGTCTGAAGCAGAGGTGACTTGATTTGACGCTGAGCTTTTGTGGGGTCGTTGATTAGATTTCGAGGCAATCATACCGTTGTCAATGCATGAAGTCTGGTATATTTTTTTTTGTAGCGGGTCACGGAAATTTCAATGGCTGCGAGAAATACCACATATACGTTTTATCATGCATTTCGAACGAATAAAGCAATCTACATTTCCGGAGATCTCTTTTTTCGCGGTCAAGGTATCTGATATTACGCAACTGGCCCGTATTGTTTGCGCTTTACACGCGTTTT